TTTAAAGTACACAATTGTGTTTAGGACACCTTCAGAGTCGTGTGACCATCACCACAATCAACTTTAGAACATTTTCATCATACCCAAGAGAAACCCTGAATCCATTAGCATTCACTGTCACACTCAGTAGAGGTACAAATACTCTGAAGCTTGGAGAAAAGAGGTGAGTGGGCAGAGGGCTGTGCGAGGAAAGCAGGGAAGACTTAGGCTGTGCCATGGACTTGCTCTGAGACCACAGGTCACATCCCCTTCTGCTTCTTGGTTTCCTCCTAATTCGTATAGGTATTTATTGAGCACCTGCTGTGTGCCAGGCTCCAGGCCAGGCATGTCACAGATATTTATGATTGTTCTCTCTAAAGTGGGGTGAGAAGCCCACTTTACAGAAGAGGGAAATCAAGACCAAGAGCACAGACATGGAGTTATTCAGGTCCCTGTGCTGGCTGGGGGCAGAGAGGGGTCAGGGGTGGGGGGTTGAGGCAGGGATGGGGTCTGACTCCCAGCTCAAGCACACTACATCAGCTGCCTCCAGTTTCCAACTTCTGGAGCTGCCCCAATGACAGGTGGGGACAGGTGTGTGGGGATGGGGGAAGGAGGGGCGTCTCTTTTTGCACTGGCTGAGGAGGGTCCTAAACAAGTTGGCACTAAGTAGTTGTTTCCCCCTCCAGTGGCCACAACTGGTGGTGCGATTGTCAGGCTGTGGGAGCCCATTAAGCAGAGTCCTCTTCCCACTACCCCTCAACACCAACCCTCAGGGCACACACACACAAACCTGAGAGTCACAAGGCGTCTGTCTGGGTGTGTCTAGACCTGTGGGATCATTCCTTCAGTCCTTCAACAAACACCAAGTGCTTGCTGTCAAGCTTTTCCTGGGTGCTGGAAGCATGGTGGGGTGGGCAGACAGTTCCCTGGCTTTTGTAGGGATCCAGGGGCTCCTGAAACAGTTTAGGATGCAGGGAGATCTTAAGCTGTTACCAGAAGAATGAATAGAAATGAGCCAGAAAGGACTTGGAGGTGGGGTGCTCCTGCCCTACTTAGGCAGAGGGAGTAGCATGTGCAAAGGCCCAGAGGTGAGAATGGAAAATGTTCACTCTGGCCACAGGCTGGAGTACCGAGTGAGGGGGAAGAGGCACAGTGAGGGAGGAAGCAGGGCAGAGATGGGTCATGTTAGCCATCTGCCCAAGGTCGGACTTTCTCCTGGAGCAGAAGTGCTCTGAGTAGGGGAGGGACAGGAGCTGATGGAAATTTTAGAGACTGCGTGACTGTCCAGGAAGAAGGGGTTGGAGTAGGTAAAGGGGGAGGCAGGGCTGGTTCTGGGCCCTTCCGGGTTTCTCAGGACCCAGAGTGCGCGGTGGTGTGGGGAGGGGAAGGGACTCTGTCTGTAGAGCAGAAGCCAGTCCTCCCCAGACAAAAAGGACAATAGTCCCAGGTTGAGAGGCTTCCCCAACCCCAATACTTACACAGCTCTTCTCAGCCACCTTCTATGTCCCTGACAGGAAGGAGTGATTCTCCACATTCTATGCAAAAGACATGAAGCAGAGAGACTTGTCCAGGTCACGAAGAAGTTAGCTGAGGGCCAAATCCCAATTCTGTGGGGTTTGTGGTAACCCCAAAGTGTAAACATTCCAACTGCTGGCTTCCTCCTTCCAAAATTCCTAGCCCTAGACTCTGGACAGTTTGGCTGAGGGCTGGTACAGGGCCAGGCCCCTGGGAGGAGGACCCTGGCTGTCCTCACCAGCCCTGCTCACTCTCCCCCTCCATCTATGCAGACAACGAGCCAAGGGCCCCAATGGCTATCATTCACCCACAGCCTCCGGGCCTTGTCTCTGGAGACAAGGGCCCTGTCAGAGCCGCCTGCCCATAAAGCCGATGAATGGCCCTTGGCTGCCAGTCAGACAATACCAGGCTCTGGGGAGGAGAGATTAGGCAGGGCCACAGCCCAAACTGGTCCCAACTGCTCAGGGTCCATGGAGCACCCCCCACCAAACAGTACTTGGCTATCTCCAGGAGCGACTCCTGGGAAATGTGACCCCAAGGAAGGGAGGGAGTTGCGATGGGGGCCCCAGAGGCAGGGGCATTGCCAAGGATGGGAAGGTCATAACTTAGGTTACAGGGGAGAGATGTGGGATGGGACAGGGAGGGGACGAGAGCCAGAAGGCAAACAAAAGAGGCTGGGAGAGTTGGGGGCGACACAAACCCTATATACCCACAGAGAGAAACAGCCCGGCCTAGGAGGCTGACCTGGGAACCATCTCTTCCTTGCTGTGTGAGCTTGAGTGCCATCTTCTCTATCAGCTCAGTTTGCGCAGATGTAAAACTAGATCCAAGAGTCTCTGTCTTGAAGGAGATGGTGCGAGTGTGAAAGGGCCTGGCCAGGGCGGGGCAGAGCAGGGCCTCTGTCTCTTCCTTCCTGGCCCCAGGGACTGGGCTGGGAGGGGGTGAGGGGGCCCAGACACAGTGGAGCCAAGTCCTGGTGCATTCTGCTGGCCCAGGAACCTGGGAGGTGCTCAGAGCTTTCCTCCATTGGGGGACCTCTAATCTCCGTTTTATTTTGAAAATTTTCAGACCTGGAGAGGAGCTGAGAGAAGCACACACTGAACACCTATGTATCATCCACTTTGATTCTCCTCCTGTTTTTAAAAAAATAAACCACCCATAAGATGGTAAATTTTACGTTATGTGTATTTAACCACAATAAAAACATTGGGGGGAAAAAAGCCAATAAACCATTATGTTGCCAGCATGCTATTACAAGTGTAAATTGATTTTGACAAGAATGCTAAGTGGACTGTGTGCCAGGCACCTGGTACAAGCCACAGGCTTTGAACATATTTAGTTGAAGTCATTTAAACTGCACAGCAGCCCCATGCACAGTGTACTATTTATCACCCATATATTATAGATGGTGAAACAGAGGCTCAGAAAAATCATGATATGTGCTTCAGGTCAGTGTCAAGATCAACTTTGGTGTCTGACCTCCATCCTCAGCAGGAACTGCTACCACCAAGGTAGGACAGCTCCCTCTAGTCCCAGCTGTGCACCTCCCACGCTGGGATGCTGGGGGCTCCTCCCTCTGCACCCCCACCTCACCACCTGGCCCAGGCTCTGCCCTCAGAGGCCAAAATCCTTCTATTCCCTTCCCTCCAAACAGGGTTTCTCCCCACTCCCTGTGTTACCTTTTGAATGACCTGGATTAAGACCCCAGAGACGGAGTTCAAGGCTGGTCTCTGCCACTGGTCAGCTGTCTAACTTGGGATGAGAACCCTCAGTCCTCATCTGGAAAATGGGCATGATGCCCCCTCCTTACATTGGGTTGAAGGTAGAGGAGATGAGGCCTGTAGGGGACCAGCTCAGGTATGTACCAGGCTAGGTGCTGAGTGCTCCCTCCTCACCCTGGCCTAGGATAGGACTAAGAAATCCAAGGATCCTTGAATTTCCACAAACTTATTTGGGATCCAGCCTCACAAGGTGGCCCCTTCTAATAAGGTGACTTTACCTGTTTGTTGTGAGATGTGTGACACAGGTCTCGTCCAGAGATTGGAGAAACCCTACTCCCCCGCAGTCCACACGGATGCACGTGTCTCCGCGTCTGGGGCTGTCCAGGTGCCTGCCCAGCCCCGCGCGCGCTGGTGGGCGGGGCCGAGGGTGGGGTCTCCTAGGCACCGCCCCTCACCGTCAGTGGCGCTGAGGGACCGAGAGCACGCAGATGCCGCCGCGGGACTTGGTCTCCGAAACACCTCGCAGAGGTTGAGCGGATCACAGGCGCCAGGCCAGGCGAAGACGGTGAGGACAGGACAGTGAACGGGGGAGGGATCAGAGCGGGGAAAGGGGAGCCCTCTGCGCCTGGCCCATCAGCCTAGAAGGGATTCCCCACTGGCCCCTTGCGGAGACCGATCGCTCAGCGGCTGCCAAACTTCGCGTCTCTCTCTTGAATGCCAACGAGTGTTTGGTGAGCAAGGAAGGTGGGAGCCAAAGAGCCTGTGGGGGCAAATAGTGGCAGACGTGAATAGAGGGGTGGGGCTGTCAGCAGTCACCGAGCCCATGCTGTGTGCCCTTGCCCAGGCTCTTAAAATTCCCCTCCGACGTGGGGATGGGTGTGGGGCCCTGGTGGACGCAAGTGCTGTTTGAAAGAGGGGAAAGTGACAGTAAATTGATGCTTTTCAGAGTCCAAAAAGTGTAAACCTCCGTGTCCTCCCGTGCTGGGACATGTTTGATTTTCATGCTTATAGGCTTTATCTGGGAGAGAGGAAAGGGTATGAAGTAGCATTTGTGATAGCTCCAGACTTCCAGGTGGCTGGTGAGACGCAGTGGGGCATTATTTCACTTCCAGTATTTTCTGAGACCCATTTGTGCCTGGCCAGGACTCTCCTTGGCCTCAAGCCCCCCTAGGCTGAAAAGAGCAACCCCCAAACCACCTGCGAAGAGGGTCTCCGTAGCTTACTACAGCGCCCGGCGGGGGTGGGCCTGCGGTAAGTGCTGGGTGGATGGAATGACCCCAAGCTGATCTTGTAGGTGGTGCCTCTGAGGGAGTGGGAGGCTGGTCTAGAAAGGAGGGACGGCACCGCCAAAGGTCTGGAGAAGGGATGCTGCCTGGGGAAATGCAGCAGCTTGGGGGGTCAA